ACAGCCGACCCCTCTCACCTGCACATGGACTATTCCAACCACTCCCCTCTCACCTGCACATGGACTATTCCAACCACTCCCCTCTCACCTGCACATGGACTATTCCAACCACTCCCCTCTCACCTGCACATGGACTATTCCAACCACTCCCCTCTCACCTGCACATGGACTATTCCAACCACTCCCCTCTCACCTGCACATGGACTATTCCAACCACTCCCCTCTCACCTGCACATGGACTATTCCAACCACTCCCCTCTCACCTGCACATGGACTATTCCAACCACTCCCCTCTCACCTGCACATGGACTATTCCAACCACTCCCCTCTCACCTGCACATGGACTATTCCAACCACTCTCCTCTCACCTGCACATGGACTATTCCAACCACTCCCCTCTCACCTGCACATGGACTATTCCAACCACTCCCCTCTCACCTGCACATGGACTATTCCAACCACTCCCCTCAGGCAGGAGGCTGCGGTCCATCAGGACTAGAACCTCCCGCCACAAGAACAGTTTCTTCCCCTCTGCTGTTGGACTCTTGAACACTTCTTAACCTGTCCCCCCGCCCTTTATAAAGTCACTTTACTGCCCATCATACGTCACTTTACTTCACTGTACTGCTGTCACCTTACATTGTGTGCACTGTCACCATATGTGCACTTGTATGTTGTAAATAGTAACTGTAACTCTATTTTAAATTTATTCTTTAGAAGTGTTTTTTATTCTTATTTTTATTATCTCTTTTTTTTTTGTTTTTTGTTTTTTTTGTTTTTTTTTTTTTATTATTTATTTAACACCATGTGATACAGATTCCATAAAAAACATAAATTACTATGTGCAACATAGTAGTGCAGAATATATTGGTGGAGGAGGGAAGGGGGAGTGGGGGGGGGGGGGCATTTTTAAGGCATCCAGAGCATGAAACGAAGAAATACAAAATACTAAATAAAAAAAATAAAATAACAAGCAAGTACTGTCGTGGAAATATTTAGATGCTAATGTGTAAGTGTGGGTGTTAATGTATTTGAATGTTTGTGTATATGTATAAATGTGTGACCATGTGTGTCTGAAGAAGAAATAGAAAAAATAGAAAAACAGAGCAATAACAGTGAATAAAACGGAAAAAAAACAAAATAAAAAAAAACCAATGAGTGCTGCCACTTGCTGTCTCCACAGATCCCAGCAACGTATTTTGGCTGTTTATGTGACAATATATTTATTTGCTTATTTTGTATTATTATTATTATTTGTATTTTTTCATTTATTTATTTTTTGTGCGCGTCTACACATCGACAGCAGGGCCACTTCCTTGTTTAATCTTGTATGTATTGTATGTGTGTGTTGAGTGTGGCTTATGTTATGCATTAAAAATCCAGGGTTCTGTGGGAGGTCTGCGCTCCAGGGGAGTCATCTCTAGAGCGCATGCCTCCCCTCCTGAATGGCCTGATCTAGTAGGTGTGAGTCTGTTGTTGGTTTTTATCATTTTTTCAGTTTTTCAGTTTTGGTTTGGTAAAAAGGGCTTTGGTTACTGTGGTGACAGGGTTAGCAGCATAATACTAATGGTGTTAGGGTTCTGTGTGTGTGTGTGTTGTGTGTTGTGTGTTGTGTGTTGTGTGTGGTGTGTGGTGTGTGGTGTGTGTTTTTATTATCTCTTTCTGACTGTTGCACTGAACCAAAGCAATTTCCAAGTCTGTGACTTCTGTTACTTACGTGGCAATAAAAATGATTCTGATTCTGATGATTCTGATTCATCAAAAACATCTGTCCCCAATACCTCAATGGTTCAATTCAATAAACAATGTAAATATAAAAATATTATCCATATCTGATAAAATTACAATAATCAAGTACATCCCAAAGTGTGAAACGTTAGCAAAAATGAAGCTGCAGATGTAAAAGATGAGCTAACACTTTACACAAACACATAACTACAGTTTGTGTAAGCCCTCAGTCGTACAGGGATTAGTCAAAGCAAAGGAAGGTTTCTCACCCATCATCTGTACTTCTTAGCAAGTTTTCCCGACGTTTCGTCCTCAAACTAGCGGACTTCTTCAGGGAATGAATTCTCGGACCGCGCGTTGGAGATTTATAACCTATGGGTGTGGTTAGCTACACCCTAATCCTGATACTAACTCATAAACAATCTAAGGTCTGATGTAGAAGGGAGCAGGTCTAACGACCCTGCTGAGGCTAACGACCCTAACTCATTAGCATGTCACAGACCTATTGTCTGCTGGGATGCTCAAGTGGAGTGCAGGTCTCACCCCTCCTAACTCATTAGCATGTCACTGACCTATTGTCTGCTGGGATGCTCAAGTGGAGTGCAGGTCTCACCCCTCCTAACTCATTAGCATGTCACTGACCTTGTCCCAAGTTAGGGCGTTGTTTTTAGGATGTCGTCATAGATGCGAGGCAAAACAAATCTTAACCCTCCTCCTCTGTTAAGAGAAGGTTTTTGTTTCCTCACAAAAATGGCTTCTTTCACTCCTCTCTCAAACCAATTCTTCTCCCGAGCCCAGAATTTTAACCTCTGTGTCATCCACCGTGTGGTTGGAGGCCTTGAGGTGGAGATGAACAGCCGACTGTGGCCCACTAGAGTTTTCTCTACGATGTTGGTAAAGTCGTTTCTGTAGAGTTTGTTTGGTTTCTCCAATATAGTGGTCAGTGCACTCCTCTTCACTACATTTAATTGAATACACCACATTGCTCTGTTTGTGTCTGGGTGTTTTGTCTTTGGGATGCACTAATTTCTGTCTTAACGTGTTGAAAGGTTTGAAATACACAGGGATAGGCAACACAAATTCCCTGGATGACACAGAGGTTAAAATTCTGGCTCGGGAGAAGAATTGGTTTGAGAGAGGAGTGAAAGAAGCCATTTTTGTGAGGAAACAAAAACCTTCTCTTAACAGAGGAGGAGGGTTAAGATTTGTTTTGCCTCGCATCTATGACGACATCCTAAAAACAACGCCCTAACTTGGGACAAGGTCAGTGACATGCTAATGAGTTAGGAGGGGTGAGACCTGCACTCCACTTGAGCATCCCAGCAGACAATAGGTCTGTGACATGCTAATGAGTTAGGGTCGTTAGCCTCAGCAGGGTCGTTAGACCTGCTCCCTTCTACATCAAGCAGACCGTAGATTGTTTACGAGTTAGTATCAGGATTAGGGTGTGGCTTACCACACCCATAGGTTATAAATCTCCAACGCGCGGTCCGAGAATTCATTCCCTGAAGAAGTCCCCAGGTTGAGGACGAAACGTCGGGAAAACTTGCTAAGAAGTACAGATGATGGTGAGAAACCTTCCTTTGCTTTCACATAACTACAGGTTTCCGCCTTCTTCAAAAACCCTCATTTTGTAAAAATGTTGTTCTAAATGAAATTATAAATGGTAAACACAGGTAAACAAGTCCGACCCTGCTTAAAATAACAATATCCCAATGTGGTGGCTTCTGTTTGGTGAGGTTTGACGACACCTGTGGCACATTTTCAATTATTTAATTTCTATTTTATTTCAGAACAATATTGGTCTGAAGCGTGGCCAAACATTTTAGTCAGAGGACCACTTTAGTTCAGAGTTTCCCAGGGGTCAACAACACAGATTGTAAAACTGTTTTGAGAGGATTCAGGCAATTCATGATTTGGTGGCACTCAGTGCCAATCAGGGCCAATCAGTGCCAATCAGGGCCATAGACTGTAAATATTAACATAGTCACGCCTATCTCCGCCGTTCTAACAAATGGGCCAGAAATTATGCTCTACTGGAGCTATCCAAAATGGCCGCGAGTGGTCCCGACCACCAGAAAATTGTGAAAAAAAAACGCATCTGTGCATACGTCACGGCGCAGCTCCTTTCATTTAAACGAGAGACTTCTAAAGTCCACAGCGACTAAACTAGACTGGTCCAGAACACTCAGCATTGACACACATGTGGAACGGAGCTTTGGGCCAAGAGACAACTTTTGGACCATCCTGTAAAGACGTTTTCCAGAGGTAAGAAGATGCTATATGTTAGCATTGGCTAATTGTTATTCCGGGTCCACCCCCACAGGCCCGGGGTGGTACTGCAGCATGTCAGCGCACGTCATTTTGGCCACTTTTGAGCCGGGACCTGCCCCCTCTGGCCAGGACTGGTGCCAGTCCGTCCCCACTCATGCCACGGACTAGCTTAAACCAAATTCGGCAACACAAGGCTCCTGATTGGTCAGTTGTTTTTGCTCTTATCTGGATTTACAAAGACAATATCACAATACACACTAGGATGGCACAGAGCACAAAACCATGGATTTTGGTGTGGTTTGGAATGGTTGGTGGTGGTGGGAGGGGCCTCGCTTCTGTCAGTGTGCCCCAGGGCAGCTGTGGCTACATCCATCCATCCATTTTCTACCCTTTAATCCATTTCTGGGTCAGGGGGGTGGCAGTCAGAGATGCCACCCAAGTCTCATAGCACCAGCCCCTCACTGACCCTCTGCAGGTGGTGAGTCCACAGGAGGCTGCTCTCTGAGTGAGAGCATAGCCTTGATCTTTCAGCGGGGGCTTTGGGCGAAGTGGGGTTAAGTGTCTTGCCCAAGGACACAACGACAGCAGTCATCAGTGGGAGTCGGTGGAGAAGGTGTAGAGGTGGGAAATGAACCCACGACCTTCAGGCCTGAAGGCCAATGCTCTACCAACTGAGCTACTGTCGCCCCTATGTGGCTACAGGGGCGACAGTAGCTGTGGCTACAGTAGTACTTTATCACCTCTGTGTATGGATTGAAAGAATGATGACGTCTTTGAGTGTCTTAAAAGCACCATGTAAAACCGATGTATTATTATTATTATTAATATTATTATTAATATTATAGAGTCAGATTTTAGGAAACTAAATTACGAAATTGTTCAGAAATAGATAGATATAAATAAATTACTAATTAATCCCAAAGGAAAATTCTCAGCTGCTAAATACCATCAAACTGTAAACTCACCAGCACCGTCGTTATCCTACCTCTGTCTGAGGAATGGCCACGAAACATGAGTACAACTTCATGAAGACGTCCACTTCACGCGTGGACAGAGAATCACGCGTGGACAGAGAATCACGCGTGGACAGAGAATCACGCGTGGACAGAGAATCACGCGTGGACAGAGAATCACGCGTGGACAGAGAATCACACGTGGACAGAGAATCACGCGTGGACAGAGAATCACGCGTGGACAGAGAATCACGCGTGGACAGAGAATCACACGTGGACAGAGAATCACGCGTGGACAGAGAATCACGTGTGGACAGAGAATCACGCGTGGACAGAGAATCACACGTGGACAGAGAATCACGCGTGGACAGAGAATCACGCGTGGACAGAGAATCACGCGTGGACAGAGAATCACGCGTGGACAGAGAATCACGCGTGGACAGAGAATCACGCGTGGACAGAGAATCACACGTGGACAGAGAATCACACGTGGACAGAGAATCACGCGTGGACAGAGAATCACGCGTGGACAGAGAATCATGGCCAAAGCAGTTTTCCCGTGTGTGGGCACATTTATCTTTCCACACGGTGACAGGAGAAGATGTAATGGGGCAGATGTTTCTTTAAGTGTGGAAAAGCCCTGTGCTGTGTGAATCCGCAGCACACATACACAATTCCTTCAAATGGAGTCAAACACGTCTCCAATGCCCGGGATAATGGATGTGCTCAGGTCCGTGTTTGAAACAGAAACTCGCTGAAGCACATCTAGGGCAGCATCTGAAAGATTTCCGATACACATGTCTAAACTAACATCTTTTTATCTTCCACTTTTTACAGTTGAAATCTGGTGCCTTTAAGCCCAGCCCAAAGTCTTTGAACTGACGAGATCAAATCATCAAAATAACCCAACTCACAAACGCTCTGGAACATCCGCTTTGATTGCTCCATTTAAATAGGGAAGTCTGAACGTCTCTGCTTTGACTGCTGCCCCCACGGAAACCCATATATATTATATATATACTGTAAATATATATATATATATATATATATATATATATAATGTTCCTTTTGTAACAAAGTACTGATTAACTTTTTAGAAGATAAAATAAAACAAAATTAAATCCAATTATCATAAAACTATGGATAGACCCGCCTCTGCTCACACTGTTTAGAAACTAACATCTGCATTAGCGCTGTACCAGGCGTCCTCCGCATTTCAAACTATGCGACTGTGTGAAAGAGTATTTAAAAAGACTTTAGTCGGATCAGATGGCGGCGTGCAGACGGGCACAGTTCCCGGGGCGCTTCCTCTGATGGCTTTCCTTTTCTGGCTGTGCCTTGTTCTTTGTGCGAGCTTTGACAAGTATAAAGGCAGACGGCTGTGGTCGGCGGGGGACGCAAACATCGGTAATAACGAGCGCATGTACTAACAAATCAAACGTGTATCTGACAAATGCATATGCTGGAGATTATAAGAGCAGGAATCAAAATAAATACAAAACATAAAGTGTTTTGACATGGCTGTTATTTTACAATTGAAATAAAGTAGGTTTGTTAGATCGCGGATACAAGCGATCGAAATGAGCTTCCTCCGCAGAGTGATTCAGATTCAGATTCAAATTCATTTATTTGCCATTTGCAGTAAAACCACATAGGAAAAACTGTGCAAGACTACCCCAGTGTGCACCAGACGACACACACCAGAGCTCTTGCCACGGCGCCATGCGACAAACAGTAGAATAAACAGCAGAGAGCAATAACACACAGTTTCACAGACAATTGGATAGACACATTGTGCTTTGTATAAACCACGGATTTTTGGCTGCTCCCTCAGAGATAGGGTGAGGAGCTCAGTCACACGGGAGGAACCAGTTGAGGTGGCTCGGGCATTTGTTCCGGATGCCTCCTGGACGCCTCCCTGGGGAGGTGTTCCGGGCACGTCCCACCCATGGATCTATTATATTACCTAGATAGGGTATTACTAGCTTGTAGCTGAAGAACTCATGTGCTCGGGGATTCTCGCGGTACTGCAGACTGAACCAGATTAAATTCACGTGGGCTACCCAGAAATGTTCCCCATAGAACTCAATGTAAATTAAAACAGCTCGACCTCAACTGACAGAGAACCTACAGCTTTCATAAAGATCAGATTTTGTGGAGATTTTAGTGTTCCTTATCATCCTGAATGTTTTTTCTTCTTAAATCCTTTGGTTTTCTTTAAATCCACACTTTACTGCCACAAACTCGCGCGGCCGAGCCCCTCTGTGCAGCTGCTGTAGCCATCCATGCACTGCAATTTTGTAAAAGATAGAAATATATACAATTATATGATAAAGCTTTTTTATTCCAAGAAACAACATCATATTTGTAGACATTAAAAAAGCTGGGTTAAGTGTCTGTCCATTGACAACCTGCAGCATGACTGCAGCATTTCAAGGATCAATGCCCTTCTTACTGCTTGGCCCACAGTAAAGTGCCACCTGCTTTTCTAAAAGTTTGGGAGATCAGACGAAGCAGCTCTGAGAACAGCCTGACATGGGTGAGATCATTAACACTTTGGACTAAAGCACTGGAGCTACACTCAGGCTCATGGGGAGAGAGCTCTGCCTGTCTGCTCCCTGAACCAAACTAATGATTTTCAGCATTTTAGGACATGTACTATTCTCAGCTGGACTTTCTTCAAACAATATTAAAGTGTAGATTTGTCAGAGGATCTGGACCTTGGTTGGGAATAGCCATTAACATTGTTGAAGGATGTGTAAGTGTGAATGGGGATTGTGTTGTTAAGCCCAAAGCCTAACTATGTTTCTTGGTCTGGGTAGGTCCTGGGTTTGAGTTCTGATGGATTCTACAAGTTGACTCTATTTCTAAGATCAGAGTGGCATTTTCATACCAGACACTGACAGTTTTGACTGGTGCCGACAAACACTGAGGAGCCATTGGTCCATAGTGAGCGGGAGGAGTTTCGGATCTTCTACATTGACATGAAACTACTCAAAAAACCCATTGGTAAAAAAAGAAACCTTGGGGAGGCCCACAGTGAGGGGGATCCGTTCCCATGGACTACAGTCTATAGATCCAGGACTCAGCACCCAGGTGACAGGTGCAGGTCAAAGAGGCCGGTTCAGAGGTTCTTCATCACGCCATAAAACAGACAATGGGGAAGTGGGTGAAATGTGCTAAAGGCTTGTGGCTAATTTGGAGCGTGCAGAGCCTCTGATTTGAGGGGCAGAGCTCAGAGTGAGACGGCGGGACTGAATACAGACACTGGTCATTTTTGATCAATATTGTTATTTTACATGTTGTAATTATGTGATATCTAGCCCTCAGGTACCTAACCTTTTGTTTTTCTTTCCTACTTTAAATAACACATGTAGTTTGTAGCAACAGAAATAGTCTTGTAAAAATCCAATGTACACAATCCAGACCACAATATTATCTTATTTTTTGAGAGTATTTAGACGGAAGAAGGCGGGGGAGTAGCCTGGCCTTATCCATCTGTACTCTCAGGTCAATCATCATCTCTTGCATGTAACGTCTGGGTCTGGTCCCTGGGTTAGCAATTACATCGGTAGAATTCCATCCGACCAATCAGAGAGCGCGGGAGGCGGGTGTTGTAGTTAGCTGTGGGTGACGTCAAGAGAAAAATGCGATAGTAAAGTAATCCGGTCTGGTTCTATCAAGAAACTGAAGCCGGAGCAAGAGGAATGTTTAGCAAATGTAATCGCTGGCAAAGATTGTGACGCTACTCCCCACGGGCTCCGTTAGCGGCAAAGGAGATGGCTAATGCTATGCTAAATGCTAAAGCTAGGCTAAATGCTAAATGCTAACGACTCACTCGGGTGCATTACATACGTCACGGTAAACTCAGATCCAATCGTTTCAATCTGCAAAAGGAGTTAACAGTGTGGATGGCACTTTATGTTGTGACATGATTATAAAGTCAATGAATTTGATTTGGCATAATACTGTATGTGTGTGTATATATATATATATACACACACATGTTTATCTGCACTTACACTGTGTTTCTGATTCAAATGCTTTCGGAGTGTTTGCTTTAAGGTAAGTCACTGCTCTTGTCTTGTGCATGATTGTGTGTGCTCCATCTCCTTTTTATGTCAAAGTTGTTTTCTCCCAAAGAGCCTGAAATAGAAGTTAATAAAGGTTTTGGGAATTTTCTGATCTTATCTGACATGTTTGAGAATGACGGGTGCTTCAGTGGGTCAATTTTTGTCAGGTGCTCATCAGGAAATAGAAAATCCTTTAACCCTTGTGCTTTCCTCTGTGTGTGAGGTCAGTTTGACCCGAGGATAGCCCAAGAAACAGGGGAACAGGACTGAAATCCTTTTAGGGCCAGTGTGAATGGGAGGCACACCTCATCAAGGACAGGACAAACTAAAGCAGTTAGTGCTGCAAGCGTAAGGCCATATTTAAACAGTGTCAGGGGTCAGACCAATCAGCTGTCTGGCAGTAAAGTTCCTCTTACGGCTGGGCGGAGCTGCATACGAGAAATCAACCGGACCTCTGCTTGTTTTTGATTATGTTGGAAATCATTCTCCCTCTGAGTTTTATGGGAGCTGATATGAAACGTAATCAGGAGCTCAGTGGAAAATGCCCAAATGTGTCCTGAGGCTCACATTATGTTTACACCACACGGCTCTCCATGTGCTTTTCATGTTTGTGGCTGAAAACTCCAAGTAAACTTTCCATTGTGATTTATTATTTACAAAGAGAAAGAACAGTTGCAATAAGCAAATTCAGGATCCATGAACATTACAACTGTCCAAAAACCTACAGCTGCATCCAAATGTCTGAGCAACACCTGCTTCCTCATCCTTTACTAACCTTGGCTGCACATTTGACCATAGTGGCATTAAAAAACACCTTAAAGGTCTTGAATATCACTGACTGGTGTCTTAATAGGTACATTTAAAAAAATAATATCAATTTGAAAGCAGCCTTTATCAGATTGAATTGTGTGTATTGTATTTGAGGGCACAGTAAGTCCTGTTTATTATTTATAAGGAAGATATTGTATGTACTTTAACTCATTGACTGCTGCTGTTTTTGAATATTTCACTGATTCTCAAGACCTACAGAATATTATCTCCTAAGACTATGTGAAATATGAAACCTGATTCTGAAAGACTGGATTGTCTGCTTTGATCAGCAAAAATAAGTTTGTTTCTAGCTGTTTTTATTGTCCTGTAATCCCCAGTCCAATAGAGGGTCTCAGACAAATACGTCAATGGCACTAACAATGTGCCATTTGCATGTTCTGTCTGCTACAGTTTCCCCCACCACTAAAACATTACATTCTGAATTCTCTGCTGTGCAATAGAAGGAGATACATCTATAAATAAAAAGGGTCCCAGCGCCAAAGGTCTGACTCTTCCTTAGCTACTGTCATGTGTACCCAATTCTAAACAGAACGAGCCCCACACGAGTCTCTCCTTTTGGTGTTGCCAAGAGACTAAAACTAATAATTATGATGTGAAAAGTAACACTGCAAAGCTTCTTAACCTGGGACTTAAAAAAGGTGACTTAAATGTACTGTAATGTTAAATAGCATGATACTATGATGTAACCTTGGACAACACAGCTAAACCAGGACTAAAGCAGGACATTGGTGTTGGCAGCTAAATTATAAAAAAAAACTGTAAACATCAATATTATAACTCTTTTATGTCATGCTGTTTGTCCCAATGCCTCTTTAGTGTTTAATGAATGATGGTGAATGAGAAAGTAGATCCATTTTGTGCAAACACTGTACATCCATGACATACTTCCATCGTAGCAGCTCCTCCAGCCTAACCCCTGCTTCCCTCAGACCCACTGACCGAACACTTCTGCCACTTCTGTCTCCACAGTGGACCAGAGCATGTTTGAGAATTGCAGCGCACACAGGCAGAGTCCACAGGGGAGCAGACCCAGCACCACCCGCCGCTCCCCTGCCGCAGCGAGCCACGGCCTGGGCAGCAATAACACAGACATCTCCTCTGCCGGAGGTCAGCAGAGGCTCAAGAATGCCATCAACCTGGGGAAGGCCAAGGTGAGGAACAGCCTGGGAGTTCAGCTCTATACGAACGTGAGGTGCACTCTTCTACGTAAAGGTCTATATTTGTGTGTCAGGGGAACATGTCTAACCTTGTGGATGTTGGCGTGTGGCGGTCTTGAGAACGCCCTTCCCTCCAGAGTTTCCGGTTTTTGCTCAGAACGACTGTCATGGAATCCCATATAAACATTCTCCTATACTTTCAAACAGAGGATTCCCCCAGTTGTAAACACTGCATCACGTTTCCAATATTCAAAAGAAAGTCAAAAGTGAAAAATAACAACGGATTGAATGCGGAGGCGTTTGGTTTCACCACATCCTACAGTCTGAATTAAGGGATAATGCCAGACCGAAGAGATTCGATAGACAGAAGTACCACGGAAATCATTCTAGAGAAAATGGTGGTATTCCCATAATCTGACCATGGATGATTTTGTGGCACAAACACGCCACTGAGCCCCCGACCTGTTTAGAATGATGTCCAGTCGTCCCTCAGGGGTCCCTCATTTATCGGCTGCTAGCTTAACTCCGTTAGCATCAAAGTCCGCCGGCTACTTCCGCCTCTTCCGGCGCGCACCACCGCAGCAGGACTTCTGGTCTGAACACCCCTGCGTCTGGCGAGCGCGGATTCTGCGTTCCAGCGTCGGCGGTCTGAACTTAAAGCCTTACTTTAACCCAAACTTGAATCAAACTGTTTTATTTGAATGTCTGTTTCCCTCGGCAGGAGCAAAATACCTAGATTCTAATAAAGACCTGGAGCAGGCTTCTTACCTTAGGTGTTGTCCATGTCGGCAATGAATAGAGTTCGAGGGTGCGGAACAGGCACTTGCGGAACAGGCACTTGCGGCAGCCTGCTAAATCAAGACCCTGCTCTCCATGCTTGTTTTATGTAGGGTGAGAAAATGTCGATATCACACATAACTTAAGTTATGTACCTGATATCGGAGAATTGGATAAAAACAATCATGTAATAAATACAATAATTGATAATAGCTTTATTTAGGGGCACCAAGGAATAACTCCCAACTGATAACGTGCATATGACGTCACAATATCAATTAATTGGCTCATTTATTGATTAAGTAATCTCATGAGTCCTTTCATTATTTAATTAGCTAATTAGTCCAATTCTCTTCAATAGAATCTGAAGGTAGTGAATTCTTTTACAAATCAGTGACCCAATTTCTGGAGTTAAAAGTACAAATATCACTTTCAGACAAAGATGGTTTTGTAGATTTAATGAAGTATACACCATACAGACTAGATATGAAATATGCAAATTGTCAAGAATAACATGAAGGAAACGTTGATTTCAAGATACATTGTTAAAATGCTAGGCTAAAGTGAGCTAAGAAAGACCTTTGTCTATGAATGGATTGGTATAGGCTGAGGCCTGCATGTGTTCAGCCTTGGTAAGAGAAGTATTCTTTGAAGTATAGATTTTAATAAAGCCAACAGCTGTGTGTAGCAAGAGAGCAGATCATACAACCAGAATAGCCTTTGGTGAATAGCAGTCCTTGGGTCTTGATGGTGTTGGATGGAGGCTTCTTGTCCACGGGGCCTGGACCATGCGGCTGCATCATGTGGTCCTCCCACGATCCACAGTCTAGGTGCCAAAACTCAGCAACTTCTTCAGGTTGAAGCTGGAGGCTATTGAAGGGTTGTGGAAGTCCTCTCAAATGTGGAGCTGAGGTTTGAGGCCATCTAAGAGGCCCCAGGCCCCTTGGTTGCCTGAGCAGAGCCCAGGGCAGAGCCCAGGGAGGTCTGGTCACTCCGTGGTTCCAAAGCAGACTGGTTTGTCTTCCCTTGTTGTAGAGTTGTTGGGGGAAGGGTGTTGCCATGGCACTTATCTCAAGACATTCTTGCCCACAATAAAACCTGAACCATAAGGATTTACACACAGTGGAGACATAAGTTATAATATGTCTCAATATACAACAAAATGTCTTTGATTGAGGAAAGAGGTCATTTTAATTGATCCTACATTTAGTAACGGAAAACAAAGACTCTCTCTTTGCGATATAAACTGTGGACTTTGAGGCACTTGACATCAGTTGTGCCTCATAATCCCGGTCATGTGTGTCTGTATCCTGTGACTCAGATGAGTGACTTGCTGAGGAGAAAGGAGTCCACCCACATCGAGGACATCGGAGTGACGGAGGTGAACAAGAGCGTGGAGCTTGGCTGGAGTCTGGGTCCCACCAGGTGAGTCTGCAGCAGACTCTTTCTACAGGAGACAGGGGAATCGGACTCATGTTGAGTCCAGTTTTAAGCTGGAGTTCCTGATGTTGACTTTTGTAAACATGGAAGAAAATGGTTACTCTACGATGACGTCTTGCTTCGTTGTATATAGAGGCCAAGTTTCCCCACAGAATCAAAATACCAACTCCTGTGTGTGGGAACCTGATAAAGACCAACGGGAAATGCTTGACCTCTGTCATTGCCAACAAAGGTACCTTTACAATAGGTCCTGGGTTCAAATCCCAGCCGGAACAGGGCTTTTCTGAATGGAGTTTGCATGTTTTCCCCGTGTCTGTGTAGGTTTCCTCTGGGTGCTCCGGTTTCTCCTACCACTAAAAACATGTACAATAGGTACTGCATTCGTAACGAGTGAGTGAATGGAAAGTGTTGGTTGGAGGCTTTGATGTTTTGGCGTCTCACTTCTGTCTTCACTGCGTGTGGAGGTAAATAAACAATATTTGAACTCTGTAAAGCACTTTGTCAAAGCCACTAAATTAATGCTAAATCTTACCTGAGAGCAAGCATTGCCTTGTATTATCCTCATATTGTGCAGGAAGCTTTCATTCAGAAAAAGCTTCCTGAATGAGACCCAAAGCGTGGCCTTGGTCCTCGCTCAATTTGGACCTCTCCGAGGTTTCTAGCTTTTTCCCACTGGGTTTTAGAGTTTTTCCCTAGCCTATGCAGAAGGGTCTGTTCGACCAGTGTGTTTCAACCACTGTGCCGTATGATATTGTCCGGTGTGCCGTGAGAAGTTCGCCTACTTTGTGTAAAAATAAATGCATCCACCGTTGGCAAGTGCTGACTTGTTTTGACCTTTGGAGTAACCACAGAATACTTTTTCCCTTGAAAAAGTTCTTTGGAGTGGGTGTGAATTGCGAATTTAAGTTATGGATTAAATGTATTGGGACAGAAAATGGTGGGACAACTGTTTTTTGTGATTTGAAAGTAAGGCACACCCACTTTAAGATGATTTAAGATTAGGTTTAAAATTCTCCCAAACAAGCATATGGCCATAACTGTGTGAATGTGTTTCGCAGCCCCCTCTCCCCCCTGGAGGCCTTTCCTCGGTTGCAGCCGCCCCCTGCCTCGGGAAAGAAGCGTGTCCTCCGTGCTCTCAAGACAACCCAGGACATGATGATCTCCTCTGTGCCTGTGGTAAGATCCCCCGAGCAGGCTGAGGCCGGATCCACCCCGGACACACCAAAGAAGGCTCTCCCTACAGCTGAGAAGGACCCGCCCATGGCTGAGGAAGACCACCCCACGACTGAGAAGGACCCCCCCATGGCTGAGGAAGACCACCCCACGACTGAGAAGGACCCACCCATGGCTGAGGAAGATCACCCCACGACTGATAAGGACCCCCCCATGGCTGAGACGGACCTCCCTATGACTGAGAAGGAACTCCAAACAGCTGAGATGGACCCCCCCACTCCTGAGAAGGACCTGACCACAGCAGAGAACACCCCATCGCCCATCATCAGCCCAGACACAGGATTTGAGAAAATAACAGAAAGCACAGGTGAGTCATTGTATATATGTATAAGAACAGGCTGTAGACCCAGGACTGAGGCTGTAGACCCGGGACTGAGGCTGTAGACCCGGGACTGAGGCTGTAGACCCAGGACTGAGGCTGTAGACCCGGGACTGAGGCTGTAGACCCGGGACTGAGGCTGTAGACCCAGGACTGAGGCTGTAGACCCAGGACTGAGGCTGTAGACCCAGGACTGAAGAGGTGGTTCAGTCCTCAACCATAGTGCATGCATTATCCATAACAGTACATTGTGTGTTCGCAGCCCTGCCCTTGCCTCCCGAGCTGGATGAGCCCAGTTGTCTGCTGGATATGGCTCTGGAGCAGTCCATCCCAGACCTCATCCACCAGGACCCCCCGGACCCCGCCCTAACCCACCTCACAGTTGGGCACAGTGCGGGCGAAGATAGCAGCCCAGACCTGCTCTCGTTTGAGTGAAGCAGCAAAGAGACCTCTCTGTCCTGTGCCAGAACAAGACAAACTATGACAACGATGCAAAACTCCACATCTGCATCTGCATTTGTGTCCTTTGATTGTCTGAGCTATATTTATTATTACAAAGTTTCATATCCAAAGATTCCCATATGTTTGAATATTCCTGAATTATCTGACCTCAGAAAATGTATGTTTCCCCTTCCACCTATCCCCGCCCCTTTCCTCTGCTTCATTATTCTGGCCATTTCCACGGGCTCGACTTGACTCTCCCCGGTTTGCCAAAATAATCGAATGTCGGCGAGCGTCAATTGGGATTGGTCGGAGGCTCTGTCAATCACTCTTCAGCTGTTGCAAAAAACATATACAAGTTGCCTCAAGTTTCCTGACTGAAAACTAGAAAGACGTCCGTACGGAAAAGCATTCCTTGGAGCAGCCAGTGTTGTGCCAAATCACAGCTTTTCTGAACTAGCTCAAGTTCAGTTCATTTCACTTTTTTGTAAGATATTCAAATAACTACTTTTGTTCACACTAAGAGTAGAAATCACTATTGAAGCTGCTGATTGTAGACATTTGCTCATGACACTGCAACTGTGGGTTTCTTACCAGGCGATGAAACTAGTACAGACAAGGTAGAGCAGTGCTATACTTAGTGCAATGACATCTACCAGCATTTCATTAAAAAATAATATATATATATTTATATACTATATAAACGCCTGCAAACTGGGGAGAGTCGAGTCGCCCTCTGTTCAGCTCCACCATATTCAGGTAAAATCAGTTCTTAGTGTCTTTGGAAGCAGCAGTTCATACGTTGTAGAAATATCATAATAGTGCAACAAAGTGAAGGAAACACAACAAAAGATGATCTCTCTCCAGTTATGAAGCTAATAAAACACTAACATATAAAGTTTCCATTATTCAACTCTTATTATGAAATATCAGAAGCATTGACATTGGCACAAAAAAGAAGTAGAAAAGCACATAGAGCACGTATCCTTTAAACTGAGCTGAATCACTTTTCCATTGTTCCTGTTTAACTTTCTTTAAGACACAAATGTCTGTGATCCCTTCACCTCCAGGACGGAGCTAAACATTTATTTTTCTGGACTAAAGATAGAGTTGTAACCCCAGAACCATTGACTTTAGATGTTATATGGATGTGTTCATGACAGACTGCTGCAGACGATGACATGAACAGAATATTCTTTAAAGGTCGACGTCAGGACTAACTTGGGCAGTTTTACAATGTATAACTTGGAATGTCCCACTTTTTTTGATATATTTTGTACACCGTAATTGGATGATGAAACATGAGCTGAAGTCTCAATGTCAAAAGTTAAAACGACTGAAATCAAGAACATTCGGAGGAAAAACGCTGAAGCGGTTAAAATCATTTCCATTCAAATGTTTTTTTGTAACAAGGACAGTCTTTACAGCGAAGACTGAAGGGAAGCTTTTATTAACTCCTGAATAATTGGATTATTTTAATGTGTATATAATGTTTCTAATCTCATTGTTACAGATGTTGCCTTAATGAATGTATCTGTGATCAGATGTTTTAACAATACAGTAGTTATTAATGATGACACTCGAGAGCATGAAGCCGACGTGTTTCTGTTTCACTGTAATGCTTTTCTACCAAAACCAGCCATAGGCACTTTGAGCACGACGCTGGGCTGAGGCCTGGTCACTCTGAAAAAGGAGAAATATTATGCAGTTTGTTTGTTGTCCCGTCATCCGTCTGACCTGTTCTCGTTGGCTCCATCCAAACATGTCCCCACCCCTTCTGTCTAAATAAGTGGTGTTCAAACTTTTCAGTCAGCGGGCCTCTTTTGTGTGTGACTGTATTCAGACCTTTCTGAGCTTTAAAATGAGGTATAACATCATGTCCATATTCATTCACCTTTGACGGAGCTGAAGTTGACTAAATGACATATTCTTACTTTCTCATCAGCTACATTAGTGTAAGTAAGTTAATCATCTTTAATGTGCCACAATCAAATATTATGAAAGTCAGATCAAGATGTAAAGAATCATTTTAACGTCTATAACGTTAGAGGAACGGTATAATTTCCAAATACTAAATTAGAGGCAAAAAGAATGATTTTGTTTATGATAAGTTTGAGACATAGGCTGAATGACAGAAGGGGCGGGGGGATGTGTTTGTGCCAGAATGTCCTGATATCAGTGTAAACGGCACTAAAAACTAAAGTTAAATGAAAACGGGTCTGTTTTTAAGTTAATGTTTAAGGCGTGGATGGTAATTTCTCATATACGAGTAGAATATATGATTATATATGTGTTTTATAATATCAAACACATATAAATTATTACAAACAAATATCATAATTAATAATTGTCTTAAATCCAAATGATCTTTTCTCTGTGGAGTATTTTTGTCGCAGTGGCATTTGACTTTATGGACATTATTTCGCATTTCTCATTTGCTGCTGTTACCACTTCCTCTAAATGAATGTCCGCAGGTTTTTCAGATGAATTATTACTTTTAGTTTGGGGAGAAAGGAAGAATGCATGTGGAAAAATGGAGGAGCAGAGAACACAATGACTTTTGACTTCATAGAATAAATTGGCTCACCTCAAATGCATTTGGAGCGTGGGTTTGGACCCTCTGCGGCCGCCGCTGAGAAGAGCTCAGCCTCAGAATGGAGTTACTCTGGGAGGTGGAATTTAATTAGAATTCTATTAACGAGGAAGGCATTATGGTCATTCACAGAGATAGGCCCGGATTATTCTGTGTAAAGGATTTTTCAGCAGGTAACGGTTGGATAAGAGACTCCAGAGAGCATCATCCTGTAACCAATAGCAACAGTGCCTTAAACATGTGTCAAAAATACAAAATGTGCAAAAGTTTAATCTGTAAAAACACTTTACAGAGTTCCAGCTGTGTGCGGAGTCGCTCTGTGGCGGATTAAACCAAAGTATGGTTAAGTTAAACAGTTTTTATTTTGTTTTGTTTATTTATTTCAAGTAAAGAAAAAATAACATTCAGTCAATTCTCTCTGACCATACACCCCTCTGCCCAAACACACTGACCATACACCCCTCTGCCCCAACACACTGACCATACACCCCTCTGCCCCAAACACTCTGACCATACACCCCTCTGCCCCAAACCTCTGACCATACACCCCTCTGCCCCAAACACACTGACCATACACCCCTCTGCCCCAAACACTCTGACCATACACCCCTCTGCCCCAAACACACTGACCATACACCCCTCTGCCCAAACACTCTGACCATACACCCCTCTGCCCCAAACACACTGACCATACACCCCTCTGCCCCAAACACACTGACCATACACCCCTCTGCCCCAAACACACTGACCATACACCCCTCTGCCCAAACACTCTGACCATACACCCCTCTGCCCAAACACTCTGACCATACACCCCTCTGCCCCAAACACACTGACCATACACCCCTCTGCCCAAACACTCTGACCATACACCCCTCTGCCCAAACACTCTGACCATACACCCCTCTGCCCAAACACTCTGACCATACACCCCTCTGCCCCAAACACTCTGACCATACACCCCTCTGCCCCAAACACTCTGACCATACACCCCTCTGCCCCAAACACTCTGACCATACACCCCTCTGCCCAAACACTCTGACCATACACCCCTCTGCCCCAAACACTCTGACCATACACCCCTCTGACCATACACCCCTCTGCCCCAAACACACTGACCATACACCCCTCTGCCCCAAACACTCTGACCATACACCCCTCTGCCCCAAACACACTGACCATACACCCCTCTGCCCCAAACACTCTGACCATACACCCCTCTGCCCCAAACACTCTGACCATACACCCCTCTGCCCCAAACACTCTGACCATACACCCCTCTGCCCCAAACACTCTGACCATACACCCCTCTGCCCCAAACACTCTGACCATACACCCCTCTGCCCAAACACTCTGACCATACACCCCTCTGACCATACACCCCTCTGCCCAAACACTCTGACCATACACCCCTCTGCCCCAAACACACTGACCATACACCCCTCTGCCCAGAGGTGGGACAAAGTCATTGTTTAGCAAGTCACAAGTCAGTCTCAATTCATTGCCCTCAAGTCCCGAGTCAAGTCACGAGTCAAGACAGGCAAGTCCCGAGTCGAGTCCAAGTCAAAGGCCAACAAATCTCAAGTCAGTCCCAAGTCCTACGGTTTGACTTTCGAGTCCTCTCGAGTCTTTTTGACCGCGATTTGTTTCTTGTTGGTCTCCACGTACTTTTGTAGGCAAACAAAATAATGTTAGGAATCATTTTGCTGGTGCATTCTCGTTGGTCTCTGACCCATGGACTAACAGTTTGTTCCATGTCGTTGGCTGCTGGTAAATCAAAACTATCTACGTGATCTAATTGGATGTTGTGCCAGATGCAGGCTCAGTTACACATGCACAGACCACACATAAAATCAGAGCAGTCCGTGTCAACATACTTTTTATCTTTGGGGTTTTTAATGGGAAGTAGCAAGTGCAGCATATATGAATATGAGTATTGGGCTAGGACCTGTATCTATATAATCAGTTTAATGTCCATAGTGGTTATTGTTCCAAAGGACTGAAGGGACCAATGGAGGGGAAGGACCCAGGCCTGTATGAACTGGACCAGCATTAGTAATATCTCATAATTACCAATATATCATTACATAATAAAATGTCTCATATAAATTAATTCAATCAGTCAAAGCACTGATTCTCATATCAATGCACCATAAACAATAGTGCAAATATTAATCTAGCTTAGTGCACATAATCAAAACAACTATCTAATGTATGCAAACTTTAGCAGGAGGAGCACAGCAAAAATATACTCATAATAATAGGCCTCTGCGCCCACACAGAAAAATATAAGAAAGAGCCAACAGAGCAGCGCAGGCTAGCGCTAGTTTGACTCACCAGTTCCTCTTTAAAACACGGCACACAGTGTGACAACTGTGTCGATTCAATTGTATGAGGCGCCTGTAGTGAAAGCATATCAATTACGGTTTGTAGAACAAAGTATGACGTTAGGTCGCGATAAATACCTGCAGCTCGCTCATTTCCAGCTCCCCTACGACAAAACACACCCACCGGTGAATGCAGTCCGCTTGTTTAGGGAAGTGTTGCTGCGCGAACTGCGGGGAACTCACGTTCGAACTCTCGCGCGAGCGCTACAACTACCGCGAGGCTTTGTTTCTTCAGAGACGGCATAGATAGAAAGAGAGTTACGCAAGTCTTTGCAAGTCAATTGGCGCAAGTCCAAGTGAAAGTCAGAGTCATTGATGTTAAAGTCCAAGTCGAGTTGCAAGTCTTTTTACATTTGGTCATGTCGAGTCTAAAGTCATCAAAATCATGACTCGAGTCTGACTCGAGTCCAAGTCACATGACTCGAGTCCACACCTCTGCCTCTGCCCCAAAACACTCTGACCATACACCCCTCTGCCCCAAACACTCTGACCATACACCCCTCTGCCCCAAACACACTGACCATACACCCCTCTGCCCCAAACACTCTGACCATACACCCCTCTGCCCCAAACACTCTGACCATACACCCCTCTGCCCCAAACACTCTGACCATACACCCCTCTGCCCAAACACTCTGACCATACACCCCTCTGACCATACACCCCTCTGCCCCAAACACACTGACCATACACCCCTCTGCCCCAAAACACTCTGACCATACACCCCTCTGCCCAAACACTCTGACCATACACCCCTCTGACCATACACCCCTCTGCCCCAAACACACTGACCATACACCCCTCTGACCATACACCCCTCTGCCCCAAACACACTGACCATACACCCCTCTGCCCCAAAACACTCTGACCATACACCCCTCTGCCCCAAACACTCTGACCATACACCCCTCTGCCCCAAACACACTGACCATACACCCCTCTGCCCCAAACACTCTGACCATACACCCCTCTGCCCCAAACACATGATAAACACAATGATAGAACTCAAAAGGAGTCACAATCGCACATATTTACAATAAAGTCATTTACAGTCTTGACATTTGAAATGTATGAAGTGAAATTCATTATAAAGTAGATTCACAATAGAGTCAAAAATCACATCCCTGCCCCTTTTGTCTTAATACTTTGTTTTCAGACTTTTCATTACAGCCGTTCTCTCTCTAGCAGCTTATACGGCTGAACGGGCTGATTGTAGAGTAGCAAAGAAGAACCCTGAGGACAAAGACCAAAGAAAGAGTGTGTGTTAAATGTTTGAAAACAGTCAAATCCAATCATTCAAAACTATTATTTATATTGTAAAAGCAAAGGTTAATCTGTGTTAATGTTTGTTCTTGTTCAGATGGAGGCAGAGGATTTTAAAGCTGGGGTACGTTACTATCAAACCACCAATAAAGTAATAAATCTATGTCCTTTCTCTCAAAACATGTTTGGCCCTCGCCCCAACTTTAAATCAGCGTCACCGAGTATGCAAATGAGCACATGTCGTTGCCTGATCTGTATAAACATTTTACTGACCCCAGCTTTAAGGGACCAAATGAAGTGAAACATCGCACCATATTTGTTTTTATATGTAAAATATGAGGTTACATTGACCACAACAGTCTTGGTACCGCAGAGATGTTAATATCCCAGACTTAACTGAACATGTTTTTTGCTCTTCTTATGATTTTACCAATGAAGGAATGTCGACTGGATAATGACTTGTATTATGTCATTTTGCACATGTTTGATGTAATCCACTGTTTTCTAATACAACTCAAACTGACACTGTGTGAAAGCTGTGCTCATTTATTTACCCCTTTTCAGCCTCATTAATAACTTTTACAGCAGGTTGAATATATGTGTTGATAATAATAAAGACAGTGAGTGAAAGGGACTGAGGAATAAAACAGGGAACACTTTGTTAAAGTTCAAATTCTTGTGCATTAGTCCAAACCCAGCGTGTTTATTATAAATCCCTGCGTGCTTGTGGTTGGTTGTGAGTTGATAGCCGCTTTCATGGTTAAAGGATTGTCTAATACATCCATCCATTGTCTTCCCCTTAATCCGTTTCTGGGTCGGGTCGGGGGGGGGGAGGCCTCTGGGTGCACTCAGCCCACAGAGCACCAGCCCCTCACTGATCCTCCTGTAGGTGAGATCTTTCAGTGGGGGCTTCAGGCAAAGTGGGGTTAAGTATCTTGCCCAAGGACACAACGGTAGCAGTCATCAGTGGGAGTCGTGAAGTAGGTCTTGAGGTGGGCTCGAACCCACAACCTTCAGGCCTCTAACAACTGAGCTACTGCGTTGTCAAACCCATTTCTTTCGTTCCTTTAAAGGCGTTTTCATAAAAATCAACAGCCGTTAGAGACATATATATTTAGAAAAACTCCATTCTCCAGTTGATACGAGCAGTTGCCACATCTGTAAACAGCACAGAAAATAAGCTTTTGACTCTGAATCAGTGAAGATTTACAAGGTTCTTAATGTGGAGATTTACTTCCTGTCCCTCGGAGGATTTTGCACCATTGCGAGACATCAGCTGCAATATAGATATACTCGAGGCAGATCATGATCGTGTGTTTGTGAGTGTGACTGTGTGTAATTCTGATCTAACTACAACACCTGCTGTTCATGAATACACACTGTCCCAACCAAATAAACAATCAGAATCAGAATCAGAATAGCCATTAGGATCATTGTGGACCTTGAAGAGTGATGTTGCTCTAAACAGTTGCCATTATTTGCCGTAACTGTTGCTGTTATTATCTGTTCTTTTCTTGTTTTGTCATTTTATACATTTTGCATAGTTGCTGTTCTAGGTAAAATGTCTAAATGTGTTTCTGTTAATGTAGTGTTTTTGGGGGTGGGCACCAATAAGCTCTTGCTTCGGCCCACTCCTTTTGGGCAGTACTTGTCTGCTCAAATAAAGAAGAACAAAAGAACAAAAAAAAGAATAATTTTTAGTGCCACGTAAGTAACAGGAGGTCACAGACTTGGAAATTGCTTTGGCTCAGTGCAACAGTCAGAGAGAGAGAATAAAATAAAATAAATAGAATAAAAAACACTTCTAAGGAATACATTTAAAATTAAAATAGAGTTACAATTCTAACACGCTAACTCCCCATACACACCCCACGCATCTTTTGAACCAGAAAGACTTGTGCAGCGACTGTTGTAGAAGCCTGGAGCATGCATGCCAACAGGTGAGGCCCCATGTGAGGCCCCATGTGAGGCCCCATGCTGGAACAGCGCAGTCCACATTGACTGGGAGTGGGGATCGTGTGTGCGGTGGTCGTGTCCTTGCCGTGGGGACAGGGTAGAGGCCGGATCGGTGACTCCACGGCCCAGAGACAGACTGGTGCAGAATCAGCCAAAACAGACTGATTACCATGTGCCTGTTTAGCTTCTTTTACTGTTTTCATCATTTTTATTAAACATGTATTTATTATTTTAAAGTCCTTTTTATTGGTCCCACCCCATCAATAGACACTTTTATACCTAAAACATGTATTTTGTCTTATGGGTAATGAACAGATGCCAACAATTTAGTTTGACATCCAAGGTTAGTGGACAGGGAGAGTTGGTGGCTCTAAACCCTTTGTGCTCCAGGAGATCTATGCCACTATAGACTGGCATTCCTGCAGATGTTTGGGGAGATGCAGGAGACGATGAAATACAGGTCGGTCAGAAGCAATGCACTCTTAGAAAACATAAGAGTATGGCAGTATGGATATTTCTTACGTAAGCAACTTGGCCTTGATGGCTGCATTAGACAAAGGATAACTGGACAATTACAGCCACAGAACAAGATGGCCTAACCCCGAGCATTTTGCAAAAATCAAGCTCAGATCCCCCAGTATCTGTTTGTCACCTGTTTCATACACATCCTTGAGACATGGTGTATCCCAGATGTGTCATCACAAATATATGAAATAATTATGATATGAAGATATTCTGATACGTTTTTCAGGAATAGACCGTATGGTTTCGGTCAACTATATTAAACGTTTATTTATAAAGGGCTATAGTTCACATTACGTGTGAGCCGACTTTTTAATGCTTTGGATGAGAAGTGATTGTTTTTAATTTTTCTGTCTGAACAAGCTGAAGATATGACAGAAATCAAACGTATATGCATCACTCACCGTGTACAAGTCCAATGCATAGCTCTGTTTTTGTGGTTTGAAAGTTACATACCCCAGCAGTAAGCTGTTTCTTTGGGTTGGAAGAAAGCATTCAAAAAGTCAAACTCACTAATATCCAGCGCAAATCCTCAGTTTAAAGATGCAAACAATTAGAAGTCATGAATAATAATGTGGCTCCTTCACATTTGCACATTAATCAGTCTGTTTGTGTTTACTGCCGTTATGGGCTGTATCCTCAGCCTCATGACAAACTGTAATTATTACATTATCTAATGAGCCGCGTGCAAAAACAAAGCTGCTGAAATAAAAAGTAAACTGTATCTGAACGTCATGAGGCTGAGGACACAGCCCGTCATGGCAAACATCACTGCTCTAGACCTTTCTTGTGTTTGGATCTTACATTACAATGATCCTGAGAGTCCACTCGAAGGCCGTGCTTCTACAGTGTGCCATTAGGGCTGGTAGTTCATAGAAGTGTGTCACTGAAATGAGTGCATTTAACATGGTTTTTGTTTGTCTGAAACCTTGACCACTGCAGAACCTTTCACAGATTGATGTTCTAATGTGTTTAACAGAGATGTCCTAGGGCTGGGCGATATCAACGGCATAAGAAGTATGTGATAAAAATGTGTCCAATGATAGAGATATGTTTGTGCATGTTAAAAGTGTGAATAAACATGTAAACAGTTTGTGTTGTTATATACAGATTATATTATTGATTTGTGCTCATATGTATCAAGGTTTATTACAGGAAATGGCGGAGAAAAGCTCAGAGAAACAAATACTTTTAGTAGCCGTGCAGCTACTGCTCAGATGCGTTCAAAGGCTCGCAGACAGTTTTATTCTGGATTAGATTAGTCCTTTACTTGTTTAACTAATGAAGACATGTGTTCAACCAGACTTTACTATGTTTGTTTGAATGTACTGAAGAGGATGACAAAGTTTGGGATTGCGTCTTAAATTCAGACAGAAGACATGTTTTATTGTCGATGGTAGAGACAGCACGAACAACACGAACACAGATACAACAGAATGCAAGTGTATTATACAGAGCGTTGGCATGGAGACCTCCAATCAGCAGCTGCCACGGTGCCATGTAGCTTGGCCTTCAGATAGACACAACAAGGGAAAAGTACTGGCTTCTGCACATTGATAGAATGATGAGTTTAACTTTAACAAAAGTTGCTTCAAAGTGTTATGAAATCTCACAGTACGATAACTCACAAATGGGTGGTTTTATAGCGCCCTCTCTTGGTCACTCACTAAATGTCAAGGAATTGCTAAAAGTATCAAATAAATAAACATTATCCAGCTCTAAAATTGAACATTTTAATAATTAAAAATCTTGACTATTTTATGCAAGAACCTGCTAGACCTACAGTATATTGAAATTCACACACCAAATTATACCACACTATGAATTTTAGGCCATATCACCCGCCCCCAGGACGTCCCAATCACTATGTTTTTCCTCCAGTCCTGATCCAATTAAACTTAAAATCCAGTCCGAGTCCTGATCGAATGCTTTTATCCTTGCTATTGTAATTTATAAAACTAAACCTCTGCTGCTGTGACCTGTCCTGCTCCACCCAGAGGCTACTCCACCTCTGCTGCTGTGACCTGTCCTGCTCCCACCCAGAGGCTACTCCACCTCTGCTGCTGTGACCCGTCCTGCTCCACCCAGAGGCTACTCCACCTCTGCTGCTGTGACCCGTCCTGCTCCACCCAGAGGCTTTTCCACCTCTGCTGCTGTGACCCGTCCTGCTCCACCCAGAGGCTACTCCACCTCTGCTGCTGTGACCCGTCCTGCTCCACCCAGAGGCTACTCCACCTCTGCTGCTGTGACCAGTCCTGCTCCACCCAGAGGCTACTCCACCTCTGCTGCTGTGACCAGTCCTGCTCCACCCAGCGGCTACTCCACCTCTGCTGCTGTGACCTGTCCTGCTCCACCCAGAGGCTACTCCACCTCTGCTGCTGTGACCCGTCCTGCTCCACCCAGAGGCTACTCCACCTCTGCTGCTGTGACCTGTCCTGCTCCACCCAGCGGCTACTCCACCTCTGCTGCTGTGACCCGTCCTGCTCCACCCAGAGGCTCCTCCACCTCTGCTGCTGTGACCTGTCCTGCTCCACCCAGAGGCTCCTCCACCTCTGCTGCTGTGACCCGTCCTGCTCCACCCAGAGGCTCCTCCACCTCTGCTGCTGTGACCTGTCCTGCTCCACCCAGAGGCTCCTCCACCTCTGCTGCTGTGACCTGTCCTGCTCCACCCAGAGGCTACTCCACCTCTGCTGCTGTGACCTGAAGTGCTGTTGCTGATTATTACTATTTAACTTTTTAGAATGATTAATTTTATTTTTGATGCTACTGTCCGTCCGAATCTTCATCAAATAAACTCAATATTTTACAAGACTGATTACATTGATGTGCCAGCTACTGTACATTACCGTGTTGACTGTAGCTCTGCTGCTCCCACGTCGCCCAATCAACACGTTGCTTTTGTGCTGTCCTCGTGAAACACTGTTGACATGTTTTAACTATAGCCACATGAACACCACGCATCGTAACTGAGCTTTGAACAACAGTTACCTTAAACAACTGCTACTTCATGACAACAGCTGTAAAGATCGGGCAGTTTAGCAGATCCTAAATCAGTCAAAAACTGACTAGGTTAAGTGTCTAGGTTAACTAACTATGACTGAATATAACTGACTGGTGCACGGCTCGACAGAACTCCACCTCACCATGAAGCCTTAGCTCAGAACAATGGTCTAAAGGCCACATTTGGGCCTTAATGGAATGTTTTATTCCCAATGTTTATTTGCACTCTATCTAAAGCTTTTATGCTAACGTGTCTGTTAGGGTTGTGTTCTGGACCCCAAAGCAGAGACGAAGACTGAGCACAATTCCAGGAAAGGATTTACTTTACACACAAAAAACTTATTTGAGACAGGGAGCTGGCTGGTCAGGAAAAGGAGGACCTGAACACAGGACTCAAAAAAACATAAGAACAACCGCAAAGCACAAACTCATACTGCTGCTGTACACGGACTGGTGACGTAGAATAATCTGGCAGAGACGCAGAGTTCCAACCAGATACTTAAACCAGAGTGATGATGAAGAACAGGTGAGCCCACACACTTGCAGAGCCAGCCACGCCCCGGTCTCACACCTGAAACAAACTACAGAAAGGGAGTGGGAGGCAGAGCAAAACCCAAACCCAACAGTGTCCTTCTTAAAGATGGCCTCTCAACTGTTACAGACTCTGCTTTTTACTAGTTTTTAACATTGTCTGCTTGTCTCTTTTCATTCCATGGTCTAACCCCTACCCCAACTAAAACGTCCCTCTGATAGCCTACATTGGGCGAGGCTAGTCAGAATGAAGTCCAATCAATAGGATCCAGCATGTTTTCTGTATGTAATGTCTAACCGAGCGGTCTGTGTGAAATGTATGTATTAGCACTCTGCTGCTAACTGTCATTAAACAATTCTGCTGCATGTCTAGATGTTTATTTATCAAACTGTAATTAGGTGGACTAATAAAGGGATTCATTCTTATCCACCTCTTATTTATTATTGTATATTATTATCTTTTTTATTGAGCTTTTGTTTAGCAGGAAAGTCCAACTAAAAGTCTTTTGTCCTGATGTTATGTCTTCTTCATGATAACCTGGATAAACTGTAAGTGTTAAATCTGGTGCATTCCTTTGTATCAAGGTTTAATAACTTCAAACGAAATACGTCAGTCACTTTATAGTTTATAGAGATGATGTAGTAGAAGGTGAATACATACATTTTATGGATCTTCTATAGGATGTGAAGTCTTTAACTGACATGAAGGTGAAATGATAATGTGACATTTTAATCATTTGGCCGTTCATCTGCTGTGCAACGAACAACAAACAACCATTCCTCGACCTATGACCATGTTATAACTGTTTTCACTCTAATAGGGTTAGGGTCATGCTGAAAGTTCTGGCCGTTCATATGCACACCAATATAATGTGGGCGGTTATGTGATGACTGTTCTAAAAATGTAAAATTAAATAATAAAAAGAGACGAGAAGTTAAAACAGACTTAATTTGGGCTCTAAAACAGACTCTTTTTAGATTAAAGATACTTTTTTATGCATTGTGGCTATTTATTATTCTAATCATGCGTGTGTTTTTAATGTTTTAAGATGTTTAATTGTGATTTTATTTGTTTTTTAATTGTATATGTATATATGTCAATTTTATGTTTCTGATTTGTTTGATATGAAGTGGATTGTGAGGCGCTTTGAGTTGCCTTGTGTTGGAAAGGCACTATACAAATACAAGTTTGATTGATTGATAAAACAGGGTGACGTGGGAACAGAAACGACAGTAATTGCAGTGGAGATGAAGCAGTGATGTCCAGAGACTGAGGCAGAGCAGCGATAGGGAAGGAGGAATGACCGACTGCCAGAGGTCCGAGGGCTGATGTTCAGACTGACAGAGGTCCGAGGGCTGATGTTCAGACTGACAGAGGTCCGAGGGCTGATGTTCAGACTGACAGAGGTCCGAGGGCTGATGTTCAGACTGACAGAGGTCCGAGGGCTGATGTTCAGACTGACAGAGGTCCGAGGGCTGATGTTCAGACTGACAGAGGTCCGAGGGCTGATGTTCAGACTGACAGAGGTCCGAGGGCTGATGTTCAGACTGACAGAGGTCCGAGGGCTGATGTTCAGACTGACAGAGGTCCGAGGGCTGATGTTCAGACTGACAGAGGTCCGAGGGCTGATGTTCAGACTGACAGAGGTCCGAGGGCTGATGTTCAGACTGACAGAGGTCCGAGGGCTGATGTTCAGACTGACAGAGGTCCGAGGGCTGATGTTCAGACTGACAGAGGTCCGAGGGCTGATGTTCAGACTGACAGAGGTCCGAGGGCTGATGTTCAGACTGACAGAGGTCCGAGGGCTGATGTTCAGACTGACAGAGGTCCGAGGGCTGATGTTCAGACTGACAGAGGTCCGAGGGCTGATGTTCAGACCGACAGAGGTCCGAGGGCTGATGTTCAGACCGACAGAGGTCCGAGGGCTGATGTTCAGACCGCCAGAGGTCCGAGGGCTGATGTTCAGACTGACAGAGGTCCGAGGGCTGATGTTCAGACCGACAGAGGTCCGAGGGCTGATGTTCAGACTGACAGAGGTCCGAGGGCTGATGTTCAGACTTACAGAGGTCCGAGGGCTGATGTTCAGACCGACAGAGGTCCGAGGGCTGATGTTCAGACCGACAGAGGTCCGAGGGCTGATGTTCAGACCGACAGAGGTCCGAGGGCTGATGTTCAGACCGACAGAGGTCCGAGGGCTGATGTTCAGACCGACAGAGGTCCGAGGGCTGATGTTCAGACTGACAGAGGTCCGAGGGCTGATGTTCAGACCGACAGAGGTCCGAGGGCTGATGTTCAGACCGACAGAGGTCCGAGGGCTGATGTTCAGACTGACAGAGGTCCGAGGGCTGATGTTCAGACTGACAGAGGTCCGAGGGCTGATGTTCAGACTTACAGAGGTCCGAGGGCTGATGTTCAGACCGACAGAGGTCCGAGGGCTGATGTTCAGACCGACAGAGGTCCGAGGGCTGATGTTCAGACCGACAGAGGTCCGAGGGCTGATGTTCAGACCGACAGAGGTCCGAGGGCTGATGTTCAGACTGACAGAGGTCCGAGGGCTGATGTTCAGACCGACAGAGGTCCGAGGGCTGATGTTGTTGTTGGTGTCATCAGATTTTGGAATTTTAAACAAGCTTGAATTTTGTCCATTTGAAATTCTTTTTTATTTTTATTGTTTGTTACACACAGAATGAAATGCATTTACAGTTGTTGACAGCAAGTACAGTCTGTGTGTTTTTTTAAATATTTTTATATATAACCCTCCCTCCCACTACCACCCTCCCCAATTCGTCTCCAGGTTGACAGTGTATCTCATAGAATTATGTTTAGCTATGTATAAAGGGTAAATAAGAAATAAGTAGATAAGTTCATAAAGAGAGAAAAATAAATACAAGTTAAAAAAAAGAGAAAATATGAATAATTACTAAAAATAAAAAGAGCTGCAAAATGTGACCTTTTTTTGGCCGTTTTGGACAATATTAAATTTGCTCCCATTTGCACAAACAAAGTCTGATTTGCACAAAACTTTAATACGTTGTTTAACTCTAGGGTCTAGGTCAATTGAAAGTGAAATAAAAGAACTTGGCTCATTAGTGCCCCTACAGATGCAGTCAAAGTTTTCAGAGTTTTTCATACTAAAAATTCTTAAATAGTCTGTAGGGGGCGTTGATGAGCCAAGTTCAATTATTTCACTTTCAAATGACCTAGACCCTAGCGTTGAACCCTGGATTCAAGTTTTGTGCAAATTGGAATTTGTATGTGTAAACGGGAGCAAATAGAATGTTGTGAAAAACGGCCAATAAACACTCACATTTTGCCGCTCCGCTGCTCAAACAACGTTTCACTGATCAAAAATAAGATAAGATAAGATAAGATTGCTTTATTTATCTCACAGAGGAGAAATGTACATGTCACATTTGGCATGGATAGAACACTCAGATTGTGCAAAGGGAGGAAATGTGCAAACATGTTACATGCAGGATATATGTACAATAAAGTGACAATAATTATGTACAACAAAAGTGACAAGTGTCAATTGGAAACAGTGTCAATAGTAGTGCAGGTTTTCACACAGTGATCATTTAAAGTGACTTATTGTACAGTCTGACAGCAGTGGGGATAAAGGCCCTGCTCCTTCCTACACTGAGGGTGTCTCAGTCTTCCACTGAAGGAGCTCCTCAGCTCCTCCTCAGTCCTGTGCAGTGGGAGGTGTTGTTCATGATGGAGGTGGCTTTGACTAGCACCTCCTGTCCCTCACCTCCTCCACAGAGTCCAGGGGCCTCCTGTCCCTCACCTCCTCTACAGAGTCCAGGGGCCTCCTGTCCCTCACCTCCTCCACAGAGTCCAGGGGCCTCCTGTCCCTCACCTCCTCCACAGAGTCCAGGGGCCTCCTGTCCCTCACCTCCTCCACAGAGTCCAGGGGCCTCCTGTCCCTCACCTCCTCCACAGAGTCCAGGGGCCTCCTGTCCCTCACCTCCTCCACAGAGTCCAGGGGCCTCCTGTCCCTCACCTCCTCCACAGAGTCCAGGGGCCTCCTGTCCCTCACCTCCTCCACAGAGTCCAGGAAGCTCCTGTCCCTCACCTCCTCCACAGAGTCCAGGGGCCTCCTGTCCCTCACCTCCTCCACAGAGTCCAGGGGCCTCCTGTCCCTCACCTCCTCCACAGAGTCCAGGGAGCAGTCCAGAGTGGAGCTGGCCCTCCTGACCAGTTTGTTCAGTCTGTTTCTGAGGTCATTTTGATGGTACATGTGTTTAGACAATGTGGAGTGATATGGAGGCCAATCGGTGAAACGGCCGAGGAGGAGTCGCTTTCCAACCGACATGTATGAAAATTATTGCATTATTGTGACCATAGAACGATAGAACCGGGAAGCGCGGAGGAACGGGACTTTCTTTTGGACGAGGAAGCTTCAGGTTAGCTCCGCCGCTTGTTGTGCTAACTCAGCTGTCTAATGCTAACGGACCTGTAGATTTCTCACGAAAGTGGGGGCCAGTGGTCCGCTGTGATTGTTAATAAAATTCTTATTGTGCTTAGGTGGGCGGTAAACAATGGCACACAAAACAGGGGTGACTGACTCAAATAAAAAGAGCTGCAGTTCAAAACTACTGTAGGCTTTGGTGGGCAGAAAGCGACAGGTGTATGTATGCTTATACACAGTAGCCAGGCCACCACCACGGCCTGAGAGCCGCGGTGTACTGAGGTATGAATATCCAGGTGGGAGGAGCTCAGTGAAGGCGCTATTATCACCAGATTTTTGCCAGGTTTCCGTCAGAAAGCAAAAATCCAGATCGTGCGTAGAAATGAAGTCGTTTATGATGAAAGTCTTGTTTGAGAGTGAACGGGCGTTGAACAGTGCTGCAGAGAGACAGAGAGATCCACAGCTGACAGGCTCCGAGACAGCGCGGACCAGTGGGCGGAGATTCTCCCGTGAGCACCGCCGACTCTGGATCCTGACGGGGCGGCAACGCGGAAGGGGGTGCCCAGCATCAGGGCTAGCTGGACACAGCCACCGATAGCAGAGCTGGAGGGGACGCCGGAGGTCGAAACCGGAATCTGATGTCCAATTGCGATTATCCACACCGGAGGACGCAAGGTATGCCTTGAACCTGACAGAGATTCCGCCTCTCTTTCCTCGTCTTCTGCGCCTCTTGTTGCGAGGCAACCCGCTCACATGACGCAGCAGAAAGAGTGGGACAGACTCGAGGACAGGTGGTGATGTCTTAAAATGTCCATCAAAGGCTTGAACGGGCACATAGTTTACAGAATCCCGGATCTTTAAAAGTGTCAGGCAATCATAAATCAACAGCGACGTCACATTTTCGATAATAAGCCCTATAAAGAGCAGAAAAATCACCAAATGTGGTAGGGGCAGACGGCGAACCATACACAGCGGCGCCATCTTTTTTCAAAGATGGCGCCGCTGTGCTTTTTTTCAAAGATCTTTTTTCGCCAAATTTATATAGCGCATTTTACAGACCAAGGTCACCCAAAGCGCTTTACAATGTTCAGATATTTGGCCAGTGGCCCGGCTTTTCACTGTTGCGGTAAAGTGGTCCGGCTTTTCACTGTTGCGGTAAAGTGGTCCGCACATTAAAGTGATTTCTTAGCAAAACTAAAACATTGTTATGAATTTTTATCCCCTCTTCCCCCGGCTTCCCTTTCTATGTTTACCGTAACATAATGTCCTGTTTCTGCATCTGGCATCTCATTAGAACTGTGTTACTCTGTCTGCACAACGCTCATCCATGGATTAAACCATGGCCTGAACTGGAGCCAATTGGAATATTTTAAAGTGAAATGTGAGTTAGAACACAAACTGCAGAACTTGTCATGAGCTGCAGTTGTTGGATTGATTTTATTAAACCCCAGTTTGGCTGCTGTTTGCTTTATGGTTGCTAGGTAACTACTTCTTCCTTTGTCATGTCTGCTGCCGATGGAAAACTGGGAGGTTATTTTATAAACTTGACATGCTATACAAATTGGCATAGAACATATTAGTAAAACTTCATGTAGCAATATGTTTCAGTGAAATCAGTCTAATCGGTCTCATGCGTTTGTAAATCTAGTCAGGCCTGAGTTTCCAGTGTAAATGAGTCAGTTTGTCTGAGAGACGACCCCATGGTGCTGTAGTCCTGGCTCAGCTCCAAACTCTCATCAGCCCTGGGATAACGAAGCACTCCGATGCCCAGAGAGCTCACCTAATGCCCGTCTGAAGACAGCAGAGACAGACCCAGACGAGGCGCTTCCACTCAGAGTCATAATTACAGTGGATGAAGTGATGGAAATGAAAATGAAAAGATAGAAGTAGTTATTGATTGACTGCGGAACCTTCCGCAGTCAACCATTGGTTTTGTATTTCTTTATTCCGTCATTTTTTTTGACACGTTTCACAGCTTTCACATTTTCAACAATTTCCACAAGTTATACATCAAAACGTTCCACATGTTTGGGAGATTATTGCTATTACTTTTGGGACTTCAGCGATTTCCGGTTTTTCCGCAATCGGACAAAAATCTGCATTGAGAATTCTGCAATGCATTTTAATAGGCCCATGCATTTTAATAGGACTTCAGCTCTTTCAGACATTTCTACAGTTTCAATGATTCAACAGTTTCAAGGATTCAACAGTTTCAAGGATTTCAGCAGTTTCAAGATTTCAAGAGTTTCAAGGACTTCAACAGTTTCAAGGACTTCAGCAGTTTCAAGGACTTCAGCAGTTTCAAGGACTTCAGCAGTTTCAAGGACTTCAGTGTAATCATGCAACCTAATAGGGATTTTTCCATGTAAACCAGTATAATGCAACTTAATAGGGATTTTTCCATGTAAACCAGTATAATGCAACTTAATAGGGTTTTTTCATGTAAACCAGTATAATGCAACTTAATAGGGTTTTTTTTCATGTAAACCAGTATAATGCAACTTAATGGGGATTTTTCCATGTAAACCAGTATAATGCAACTTAATAGGGGTTTTTACATGTAAACCAGTATAATGCAACTTAATAGGGTTTTTTCCATGTAAACCAGTATAATGCAACTTAATAGGGTTTTTTTTCCATGTAAACCAGTACAATGCAACTTAATAGGGATTTTTCCATGTAAACCAGTATAATGCAACTTAATGGGGATTTTTCCATGTAAACCAGTATAATGCAACTTAATGGGGATTTTTCCATGTAAACCAGTATTATGCAACTTAATAGGGATTTTTCCATGTAAACCAGTATAATGCAACTTAATAGGGATTTTTCCATGTAAACCAGTATTATGCAACTTAATAGGGATTTTTCCATGTAAACCAGTATAATGCAACTTAATAGGGTTTTTTTCATGTAAACCAGTATAATGCAACTTAATAGGGTTTTTACATGTAAACCAGTATAATGGAACTTAATAGGGGTTTTTACATGTAAACCAGTATAATGGAACTTAATAGGGGTTTTTACATGTAAACCAGTATAATGCAACTTAATAAGGATTTTTACATGTAAACCACTATAATGTAACCTAATAGGGGTTTTTACATGTAAACCAGTATAAAGCAACTTAATAGGGATTTGTACATGTAAACCAGTATAATGCAACCTAATAGGGATTTTTCCATGTAAACCAGTATAATGCAACTTAATAGGGATTTTTCCATGTAAACCAGTATAATGCAACTTAATAGGGATTTTTCCATGTAAACCAGTATAATGCAACTTAATAGGGATTTTTCCATGTAAACCAGTATAATGCAACTTAATAGGGATTTTTCCATGTAAACCAGTATAATGCAACTTAATAGGGATTTTTCCATGTAAACCAGTATAATGCAACTTAATAGGGGTTTTTACATGTAAACCAGTATAATGCAACTTAATAGGGTTTTTTTCATGTAAACCAGTATAATGCAACTTAATAGGGATTTTTCCATGTAAACCAGTACAATGCAACTTAATAGGGATTTTTCCATGTAAACCAGTATAATGCAACTTAATAGGGTTTTTTTTTTTTACATATAAACCAGTATAATGGAACTTAATAGGGTTTTTTTCATGTAAACCAGTATAATGCAACTTAATAGGGATTTTTCCATGTAAACCAGTATAATGCAACTTAATAGGGTTTTTTCATGTAAACCAGTATAATGCAACTTAATAGGGATTTTTCCATGTAAACCAGTATAATGCAACTTAATAGGGGTTTTTACATGTAAACCATATAATGCAACTTAATAGGGGTTTTTCCATGTAAACCAGTATAATGCAACTTAATAGGGTTTTTTTCATGTAAACCAGTATAATGCAACTTAATGGGGATTTTTCCATGTAAACCAGTATTATGCAACTTAATAGGGATTTTTCCATGTAAACCAGTATAATGCAACTTAATAGGGTTTTTTTCATGTTAACCAGTATAATGCAACTTAATAGGGTTTTTTTCATGTAAACCAGTATAATGCAACTTAATAGGGTTTTTTCATGTATAATGCAACCTAATAGGTTGCATTATACCACCAGACCAAGACCCAAACGAAGACTCAGACCACCACCAGATAATGACCACAGACCAGGTTTCCTTAGTTACAGGAACCAAATTGTTTCAGCGGTGAGGGGATTTTTCAGTTTCAAGGACACTTTCAATACATTCAGTAGTTTCAAGGATTTCAGCTGTTTAAGAATTTAACCAGTTTCAAGGATATCAGGAGGTTCAAGGATTTCAGGAGTTTCCACACTTTCAACAGTTTCCAGGTTTAAAAAAGTTTCAAGGATTTCAGGAGTTTCAATGTTTCAACAGTTTCAAGGATTTCAGGAGTTTAAAGGTTTCAACAATTTCAAGGACTTCAGGAGTTTCAAATATCTATCAAGTATTTTAACAGTTTCAAGGCTTTTTAAAGGATTTCAAGGATTTTTTTTAGCAGATTTCCACATTAGATCTGTTCCGCAGTCAATCGCAATGGCTTCAGCCATTGCAAGTTTCTAGTTGAGGTTGATGATTAATTATACGCCTTTCCAACTCCTCAGAGCCTTAAGTGCTGGAGTTTGTTTAACAATGCACAGACAAGACACTTAACCCCACTTTGCCTGAAGCCCTCGCTGGAAGATCTCAGCTCCTGCGGGAGGATCAGTGAGAGGCTGGTGCTCTGACTGCCACCCCCGACCCAGAAATGGATTAAGGGGAAGAAAATGGATGGAGTTTTGAATAACGTACAATTAAACTAACATTCACCGGTGCCTAATATGAAATCTGAATTACATGAAATGCCTAATGAGAGTTATTTATTAACTGCAACTCTTGACCCAAAGACAGAAGCTTATGTTGTTCTGTGCTGGCAGTAAGGTCAGCTGATAGAAAACATAATGCCAGAATACTGCATGTTCCAGGTTATTACTTATTGTTTTTAGTGTCGAGAGTATCAGAGTTTAGAAGTGTAAGCCTTGAGCATCAATGAGGCAGCCTTTGTTTCCATCTTTGTAATGAAACTTAAACATGTTCCCATCGTCGGATCAGAA